CAACAGATACCGCACTTGCGTTCTTGAAAACTCCTTGGATTGGTACTGCACCTTCAAAATCATTAAATGAAAGGTTCAAATTCTGCAAGAAGGGGGAACTCTCCAAGTAGTTGGGAATTATGCCAGACAAGTTGTTGCGAGAGAGGTCAAAATATTCAAGTCCTCTCAAGGAGCTCAAGGATTTAGGAATTGTCCCCTGCAATAAATTTTCTTTCAGAGACAGAATCGCCAAACTTGTGCAACTCCCTAAGCTTTGTGGAATCTCACCAGATAACTTGTTTTCAGAAACATCCAAGAGAACAAGATGCTGTGAGTTACCTACTTCCAAGGGAATGGATTCGGTAAGTTGGTTTCCAGATAGATTCAAGTGAACAAGTAAATTGATGAATTGTTTTGGAATTGGACCGCTAAGATTGTTGTGGGAAAGATCCAAATATATCATAAACCTACAGTCTCCGAGGCTTTGTGGTATGCTTCCATTTAAATTGTTTGAGCCGAGAGTCAATCTGCTTAATGAAGTTAGATTTCCTAGAGATGATGGAACATTCCCTGACAATTCATTCGAATCTAGATGCAGGTCATAAAGCTTATCCGGTTTACCTATTGAACTCGGTATAGTGCCTACCAATAAATTTTCATCAAGGTTCAACGTATCCAAGTTGATAAGATTTCCAACCCCGATGGGAATGTTTCCGCGTATCTGATTGTATTGAAAATTTATCACCCTGATCTTCGTTGAGAGATTGCTGAAAGATTCAGGTAGCACTCCTCCAAAATTATTGAAGCCAATATATAAAACTTCTAAATTGGTGCAATTAACTAGAGAAGAGATGAACTCCAAGTCACCTTCCTCATTATGTCCAAGATTGTTATGATTTAGAGCAAACCAATACAAATTTGACAGGCGCGCCAGACTAGGCACTTTTCCAGTAAAGTAATTGTGTGAGATAGAAAATTGTGAGAGGTTTGAGGCATTGGAGATTGAAGCTGGTAATGGTCCAGTGAATTGGTTGAAATAGAAATCAAATTTTTCGAGGTTTGGAAATATAGTGTGGCCCAATCCAGGGGGAAGAGTTCCATGAAGGTTGTTTCGAAGCAAATAAATGACTTTAATTGACGAGAGGTTGTATATGGAGGGAGGGATGGTACCATTCAAATAATTGTAAGCCAAGGAAAAAATCACTAAGCTTTTCAACTGGCCAAGGCTATTTGGAATACCTCCATGGAGATTATTTTGAGGCACAGATAGCATCTGAAGAGAAGAAAGATTCCCAAAAGAAGGTGGGATTTTCCCATACAAATTGTTCGCTCCTAAATCAAGAAACTGAAGCTTGGACAATGAGGCAATTTCAGTTGGAAGTTCGCCACTAAGAGTGTTGCCAAATAAGCCAAGGTATTGGAGGCTAGAGCAACTTGATATGTTGAATGGAATATGACCACTGAATGAGTTGTTTTCAAGGCGTAGTTTTTGCAAGCGGAACAAACGACCAATTTCTGGAGGGATGGTGTGGCTGAAGCTATTGTTATGGAGGTATAAAGCCCGCAGAAAGCTCAAGTTTCCAATGTGGGGAGATAGGTGGCCTGCCATCCCGCTCGATTGGAGGTCGAGCACTGTAACTCTCTGATGTCTGCGGCCACAAGTGATGCCTGGCCAATGACAGAAGTGGAGCGAAGCATTCCAAGAGCTAAGGATGCCCAAGGTATCGTTCACGATTTCAGCTTTAAAGGCAAGCAAGGAAAGCCTATCCACCTCGTTTCCCGCGAAATGCGAGGAGGAGGCAGAGCTAAAAAGAAAGAGAAGAAAGAGTGGTTGCATGAAAATAAACCAAATGCTAATATGAATACTTGAGAACTCCATCTTAGCTAGGCTGCAAGATAAAGCTCTGGGTATTTATGTAACCGTAGGTTGACGCAAAGAAAGGAGTTGATTTTCGTGGTTGCACAGCTGGTCTCTGCATGCATGCCGTGGTTGAAAGTTTGGGGAACGCAACAGACAACTTTGGCACTTGCAATAATTCTTCAAAAATGTTACCCTTCTACTTCAGTCCTGAAAGCATCGAGATTGTGCGAGGCGGACAATTCGACCAAAACCGATTTCTGCTTCTGGAATTCGCTTTCCATGATAAAATTTGAGGGGCTGAGTTTATCTTTGGAACCCCTGCATACCTCGCAAGTCCTGCATCATTGTAACAGAAAAAGTTCAATATACCACTCAAAATCATTAACTGATAGCGGCTTTAAATAAGCTGATTATATGTAAACTTGTTCATATCATCCAATAAAATTATAAATTAAAAAAAAAAATAAAAAAAAGCACTTCCACAGCTGGATAGTTGTTGAATCTAAGATTTTCCGCAACATGAGAAACAGAAAAATTCAACCCACCTCCTCAGAAACAAACCCAAAAGCTAAATCTTAAAAACTATATGGTTGGTTTTTCCTATTGAGTTCCAGAAATATTCACAAAACTTCACAAATCTCAATAATTTTCTCCTTAAATATTGAATTGTAAGTTAAAAGAACCCAGAAATCAGTGCAGATAAACAAACCCAGATCCAAAATATAAAACTTCAACCCAAACAACTCAAAACCCAAAAATATTTCACAAAACCCAATTGAAATCACAAAATATTGTTCCAAAAAAACTCAATCCAAATACAGAAAGATTCAAACTTTAAGACCTAAAAAGCTCAAACAATCAAACCCAGAAAGCTTTTCCGTAACTTTAAAGTTTAAAGCACTCAACAAATCTTCAGAGACAGAGAGTGAGAGATACTAGGAGGAGTATAATCTGTGTGCTTGTTTTTAAGAGAGAGAAAAACGGCTGAGGAACCTCAAGTGAGAGGAGCTTGGAGCTACGAGGAAACGGAAGGCTTTGGGAATTTATATTGCTGTTGGCTGAGGGAGGACAGCGTGACATTTCTTCTGCTTTGTTTCGTGAGTGTGTGGAATTTGGTCAAAGTCAAAGCTTCAAAGCTTCAAAGCTTCAAAGTGTGTGTGTGGAATCTGTTTCGTGAGTGTGTGGAAAGCGTGACATTTCTTCTGCCTTCTTTATTATGACTATCCTATTAGAATTGAGTAAGGGTTTTCGGGTTTGAATGAAATTCGAAATTGAAATTGGGATGAAATTAAGGTTAAACGAGAAAATATGCTCATGCGTTGCTGCGGGACTTGAATGCACCCGCCTTTACTACATAAATAAGACATATTTAACCTGAATAAATTAAGACACATGCACCATGCACTCGTCTCTCAATTATAAGAAAACTTGTTTGCAATACTGAGAAAAAGCTTATTATTGTTGAGAAAAATACACACGACACCAATGGATCATGCCATAAAAATTACACCATGAAAAATCCAGAGACCAAAATCCCTGCCGGCAGAATTTATTCACATCAAATTTAAATTCTAACACCATACGATCAAATGTTAATCAAACACACAATCTCAAAAAGCCGAAACCATGTTAAGCAAAAGAAACAGAAGTCTTCTCAAAAAAAAAAAAAAAAAGAAACAGAAGGAAAAGAGTGAAGATGTAAGCATTGATAAGAATATGAAAAGTGGCAGCATTGATATCATGCACAAATAGGACAATGAAATATTGGAACTAGCAGCAACATATAGAACCAAGAAGGAAAAGGATTGATATAATAAATAAATAAATAAGAAATAGGATAAAGGCACAAACCAACGACATGAGCTCAGATTTTTCACCATGAATTTTGCATGGCCTGAAATCAAGAAAAGGATGTGTTTACCAGGATTTTGAAGTGGACGCCCGCAGTCCGAATGACAGCGATCATCCCTCTTTTGATGGTCCAGAACCGACCCGGGACACTCATACGAAATCCAAAAAGGCAGCATTATCTGGAAAGAACAAGCAAAGCCGTCAACAACAACGAAGTAAATATATAGTTCCATAGATGCAAACAAAATAACACTATGGCATGATATTTGATTAAGATCAGTCTCTACCAATTTGATGGCAAAAACACCTCCCCCATACGGGAATGAACCTAACCATTTAAAGACAAAAAGACGAAAACCCATGCGGGAATGAACCTAACCACACTGCATGCACTCACATAGACTGCATACACATACACTCACACGCACCGAAGAATGAACGCATTATATTCAGTTAGCACCATTCAACTTTAAAAGCAGTGAGACATTCCAAAGGCACAGCGTAACTGGCCTTGGTTCAAATAACCAAATTGAGAACAACAGTTCAATTTTAGAAAAGCTGTACAGAGAGAAAACAAAAAAGAAAAAAAAAAGAGAGACAAAACAATCCTATAACCACAACTGAAAAACAAAATCAAAATGAACAGAATAAAATATCAGCAGAGCATGAACAATAACTAACATCCTTTGGAAACATGTGCGGGTTATGTATAATATATATGTGCACAAAATTAAGAAAATGGCTTGAGTGCCCTAGCAGTGGTCTTTACGCTGAACCAAATCACTATTAGGTTAATTGTATTGATTCACGCATCTTCTTTTTATGTCTAAATCTCTACTAAATTGCCCTACGAAAATGACATAAAACTAATTAAAATTCCCAATATATTTGAGAAATACAACTTTTAAAAGTGTGAGAACATATGCAGCACCAAGATGTTGTAGAACTCACTGCCCCAATTTAAGATTCGGTTTTTGTCCAATGTATGTATATGCTTAGATACATCTGAGAATTTGCTTTGCAACAATTGCTACTCTCATCGTCTTTTGAGAGAGATAGATACAAAGGTAAGGATTACAATGGGGAATAGTTAAGTATCCCTCTAAAATACTAAAGAAAAACATACCTAGAACGGAGTAAACAACTGTTTGTCTCCATAGCAGTTTCTCAGAACATTTATGCTGTCAGAAAGATAGTGCTCCACTCCAGAAGGATGGACAAATGTACCAGATGGAGACTGACCCAAAGAAAACATAACTAAAAGTTAGCATCTGATGAACAATTAAGGTGATGCAAAAGGGCAACGTGATGTGAAATTATTATACCAAAATATCCAAGGTCTGTTAATCTAATCACCCAATAAAATAAAACAGAAATTAAGCACAATAATATCAAAATTAAAAGGAAGGAATAACATGAAACCTTGTGCATAGAACGTTCGTGAGAATGAATCACACAACAATCAAGGTGGACAAATCACAAAAGTGACAATTAAAGGGCACCTAACGGACACCCCCATCTCTCTATCTCTCTGCAATTGCAAAAATCCCTCGGGTTTGAGGAAGCAAATGGAAAACAAAATGTTTTTCCATCCCTTACCCATACCCAAACCTTCCTTACCCGTTCCCTTTACCCTTGCAGAAAATCCTCCCATCTTTCTCTCACCCTTGTCCCATCTCTCTGTCTGCAAATCGCAGAAAAGAAACCCTAAACAAATCCCTGAAATCCCTTGCCTAAATCCTCCCACATTTCTCACTGACACCCCCTATCTCTCTCTCTGCAAAACCTAAACCAGATCTTCTAAATCCTATCTCAGACACCCCACAAACAGCAAAGAAGCCAAGATATTAAAGCAATCTCTACATAATACTTTGGAACAATGAAACAAATGGTACTTACTTGTTCCTTGTCCAAAACCGTTGGTGCCGCCGCACATTGTTATCAATTGTGGGTTTATTGAATCCTTCATGGCTTAGACTGCATGAAGAATTAGAATCTAAAAGATAAATATATGCTGTAAATCATCATATAAATGTAACTGCATTTAAAAAAAAAAAAAAAGGAATGAAAAAATTGAATTCTATTTCATCACTATGTAACTGCATGAAAAGTTACATTGAATGCAGACTCAATCAATTTCCCCAAAGTCATTGTTAAGTGAAAATCAATACCAAACCCATAAATACCACCATTGAATTTGGCAAAACCCAAAAACAAAATACATAAATTTACTCATATAATCACAGAAAAACATGAAATTTGAGCACCCATTTGGCCAAGTTAAAGGATAAAAGCACTCACATCATCATAGTACTCTTTGGGAAGATCTTCTAATACTGGTTCTTCCTTTTTCTTGCTCTTCCTCAGAACTGCCATTAAAAAACCCAGAGAAGCACACAAATTCAGAAAAGATAAGGTCCAAAACTGCCATAAAAAATCCAGAAAGCATACAAATTTATTAGAAAGAAAAGTTCAAATTACAAAAACCAACTGATGTGAGTGAGTAGTGAGAGGTTGTGTTAGGCACCTGAAACATGTTTTGGTTACAATTGAAAGGGCCAGAGCCTTGCATGTGAGGAAGATGACGATAAGATTCCAGAGACAGAGAAAAGAGGAGTAAGACGACGGAGGTGAGAGAAGGGAGACGGCGGCGAGAGGAGGATAGGACAGAGGCGAGTGCCAAAGTTTCTGCTTGTCTACAAAATTGGCAAAATTGGTACACAGGTTCACAACTCGTCGTCTTCCCTTGATCAATGGCTCCTTTAAATATCCAAATGATCAAGGTCGATCGTGCTCGCAGAATACTTGATGAGCTCCTTTTGGTAATCCACCTAAAACAAATAAGCACAATATCTATGCAAACTGGCATTTCACTCAATTATACATTAGTTATGGCATCTTTGGAACTAAATGACTTCAACCTTAATATCCTATAAGCAGTATGTTTCTATATTTTAAATCATGTTATGATAACAGGAAAATATAGATGATACAAAAGTAATTTAGTTTCATCATGCATATTTTCGCATTATTTAGTAAAGAACTCAGCCGGACTTGATTCCGAATAACATTCACAATTTCATATAGAATTTCAAAAGCCAGAGACTTTAGTGTAAATTATAATAAAATTTCACAAAGAAAACAAATTGTAATATAAGTCTGATCTACAATTCGGATTTACCTAGATATGGTGATTTACGTTTTCATTGGAATTTTTGCATGCATTTACATCTGATGAAAAAATAATACATCATTAGTTAGCAGGAAGGAACTTTGATAAGCAGATAAAGAAGCAAGATTGAATATAAGTTTCGTGTACCCTGAAGTTGTTTGTTCTTGCTACAGAATACTCGCATCCGTTGCAGCCGCTTCTATTTTCTTCATGGTTTCAGTAATGGTATGCTTGGGTCCAATTCTTGTTGTCTTCTATTTCTCATCCTAAATTAAGTTAACAGTTCAACATTATTCGTTATAAGCTAAAAAAGTAGGATTAGTTATTTTAGTAAATCTATTTCTTGTAAACTTGCCTGTTCCTCGAACATACCTGACAAATCGAGATCATTTGACACGGCTATCGATTGGAATGCATTCGTAAAACTCGAGGATTTGGGAATTATTGTCTCCACCACATTTTCCTGCAATGAAAATAGCAATTGTAACAAAAATCAGATATTTGGATCGAAGGTAAGATTCTAGCATTTTCTCCGTATCACAATCATGCAGAGCTTTTACCTCAATTGAATCAAATCCAACACCAACCCATCACAGCTCGATGATCACTCAGAACACTGAACGCAAAAATCAACAAAATTTCACCATTTTAAATTATAATTCGTTTCATATTCTTTAATCCACTGAAAAAGCAAAAAATTAAAATTAAATTAAAAGTGAACCTGGTGGTCGTGGGTGCCGCCGCCGATGTGGAGGTTGAAGGGATTGATTTTAGCTTTTTCGTTGAAAAGCTGGCTTTCTTCTTTTCCTTGCGAATCAGATTCTATTATGTGTAGCTCTTCTTCTTTTTGTTCCTTCAAAACTTTGTTCAGCATTCGCCTGAGGAGAGGGGAAATGGTTCAGAGCAAGGTGTCTCCATTGCTGCGACCTTGTCCGTTGAACTTTCTGTAGTTGCTTTTAAGCTTCGCTCCCTCCCTTCCTCCCTCCCTCTGCAAGTCGCATACCTTCCCCTCACCAAACCCTTCTCTCTCTCCCTCCCCCTCCATCCTTCCCTCTCTCTCCTCCTCTATCCCTCCCTCCTCTCTGCAAGTCGCATGCCTTCCCCTCACCAAACCCCCATCTCTCCATCCCCATCCCTCATTCCCTCTCTCTCCTCCTCCCCCTCCCTCCTCTCTGCAAGTCGCATGCATTCCCCTCACCAAACCCCCCTTTCTCTATCCCCCTCCCTCCTTCCCTCTCTCTCCTCCTCTGTGCAAACAGCATGCCTTCCCACCAAATCCCAAACCGAGCCATCGATCCCACCGAATGCAACCCTAACTGACAACAATGCCCACCCAACTTTTACCCCCAATCGTGTGATGTAACCCCAGACAGGCATTCCTGTCATTCGAACTGATGATGGCATCTTCTAAAAAGCTAAAAGCATCTGAGTAGCAATCTTGTAAATAAACTGAAATGTGGTCCAAAACAATGTTCATATGAATAGTGCGATTTCCCCTCCTACTTTAGACTAAAGTAATACGGAGAGGTCTCTCTTTTCGATTCCACCAGCTGCACCAACACCTCGTTTAGGATTTGCCTTCACGGCTTCACGCGTGGTTCGGTTTCATGGTTTTCTTAATCTAGTCCGCACTTGTGCACGTACATACAACCTCCCACTCTCCTTTGGTTAGGGAGAACATGACATTCAAAAAGTAAAGGTAATGTGTCAATTTTTGTACCAACTATATTGGAGGAGGAGAAAAGATTCGGGAATTGATTTGCACATGATTAGTTGATCTAGTAATACACACTTTGTCACTAAAACCCTGCCACTGTTTCTCGTTCTTGCGCCGTTCAGCAATCTCCACTCTGGAGGCCGGGCGGATCCTTGTCCTTTCTTTTTTCCTACGCTTCGACGTACAGAAGGTGGCGCAACTGTGGATCTCAAGTCCCCTGGTAATATAAACAAGCGGATAAGAACTAATCAGGAACTTGTGCCATCTTTTAAGGATGATGTGATGTATCCGGGATCCCCGAACGACCTCTGATGTTCTTCAAAGATTTGGATAAACCTCTGAGAGTGAGAACTTGTGTCCTTGTTGAAGGGAAGTCTGTGCGACTCGTATATAAAATGGATGATAATACGTTTTTATATATGTTTGGCCGAAATGAAACTCATTTTATTCATGCTTTGCTGCCACATATTTTGACATGAATACTCGAATTTATATATATATCCAAACGAAAACTCAAGACAAACATGTTTCTTAGAGAACAAGGAAGAACGATTGAGGCAATTGCTCATGTTGTGATTGGATTGCGTAAGTCTGTTTTAGTTAAAATTCATCTTCTATCTTTAATTTGGATAAGATTTTGAAGTTAAACTCTTTTTTTTTTTTTTTTTGGAATATCTTAAATCTAGCCGGTTATTCAACACCAAAATGTTCCTTTCTATTTGTTATCTTTGTAAATCATGTGACATTTTGAAAAATATGACTCGAGCCAATAAATACAAAAAGATCAACTCATGCCAACACTCGCAATCAGTGGCGGATATACATTGTGACCAAGGTGGTCTCAGAACCGACCAAAGTTCGAAAAATATACATTTGAAGGTCTTTTGAGGATTCTTCGAATGTTTGGTACAAGTCATTTTTGTGTCCACCAATTGTTTGATGTAATGATTACTATACATATCTCGGCAGCACTCGGTAGATTGCTTTAAGAGCACTTGACAAGTTCTCTCAACGCTCGACTAAGTTTCTCCACACTCATCAAATTACTTTCGTATACGTCGATATTTGATGACATGTACGCAACATGATTCAGTTGACGACTACAAATCCACCAAGTGTTTGATGAAATACTTCAATAAATAAACTAAACTTTATTTGCGTGCTTTGCACCTTGTTTCTATTTAAAAATTTAGACCTTTAACACCGAGCCCTCCAATGCTCAAATCCTAAATCTGCTACTGGTCACAACACCATTTTCAGAAAGACTAGAAGGTGGAAGCGCGAGTAGATTGAAGATAAGAGGTGAGGGGATTGGGAATGAAATTGAAATGCATGAAGAGGTTGGACCAATTGTTTTGACCGCACAGCAACATATAAGATGTTGTATATAATATTATAGACATAGGGAAATTAAATCCAAGCTGTCACGCTTAAGCTTAAGCGCGTTCTTCTTCTCTTATATTTAGAGTCTTAGACTTTAGGGGGGTGGGGAACTGGAACGACATTGCTGGAATATCTGATTCAGCCTCCCACTATTGGAAAAAAAAAATTAATTGTGACAGGAACACAAGTGGTACATCACATGTTTTAATATAAGTGGTGGGAAATTTTGTTATTAACTTTTTAGCACACATATCCTACCATTTGTACAGTGACAAGTGATGTACTATCCAGTGTATCAATCACATTGAAAAATCTCTCCCACTATTGACGTTTGTCAAAAACCCTTCTGTTCTGCATATTATCTTTCTTTCTTGTCTTTTTTTTCTTTTTTTTTGGGTATAATTAATATTTATTTATTAGTACTAAATTAATAATATCATATGTGTGATGAGTGTGACTGAATGTTATTGTAATGCTTCAAACTCTGTTGGACTTCTGACTTGATTTTTCAATCCCTTCGTGCAAGCAAGATTCAAATCATCTACATCATCTTGTATGCAGCTTCAATGAGGCTTCTATATTTGATTAATACGTGCTCATAAATTTATTATCTTTAGTTATATTGTTATAAATTTAACACGTTAATTAATGATAGAAATTAAAGAACAGCCGCACATAAAATAAGTGTAGAAGATTTGAACTCTGCAACAAAACGTTAAGAGCTTCCTAAGTTTGACAAATGGTCCTTACTCATTTGTTACTTGTTTATTGCGGGCCTTGATAAATAATAAATCAGTTTTGTTAAGGTAGAAGCTAATAATACAAGTAGCAAAAACATTGTACGGTTGTTCTATATACGAATAAGTTTCCAGCTATATATATTGTCGGCTGCTCTCTCAATAATTTCAACTTTGGAAAAACAGATACATATATTTTACAGTTGTGGAGATTAAAATAACTTTAAAAATTGTGAAGACAATAGGTGAGCTTTTTTTTCAAAGAGACAAGAATGCGCTCCTTAAATGGGTAGAGCCCTCAAATATTCTCACGTGTAGTTCAATATTCCTGGAGGTTCAAGCAACTACGACAACATCAAGCTCCCCTGCACGTGGCAAGGAAAGGTCAAATGTATTAAAGATAGAATTAATCACTAAATCCTATCTTTAATACATTCCTAATAAAAGATCAATTCAAACAAGTAAAGAATTTTCATAACAATCAATCAAAATGCTACCATCATCAACCCAATATATTATTTTCTAATTAGTATCTTGGGATTATTCTTTCCTCATCAATCCTAGGATGACTCATCTTGGTCAATGAGAAGCCACCACATGTATGGGAAAAACCCTACACTTAGGCCGACCACCTCTTTGTAAATACCTCATCTCCACCAAACTCTAGTAAGCCTTTGATATGCACTTTAAACCTAAACACTCAGTATTTTTAGAGTTACTGACTTTGGTATCGGAGATCCATTGGTTAAGCCCCCTCCCCCACACCTTGTGAGTGCATGAGGCTTTGACCTTGATCAAAAATGTTTATTGTTTTGCAGGTACAAATTTATTAAGACTAAAGACGACGAATTTTTGCTATCACAATTGCAATATAAATTCTAGATATATTTATAAAAATTGGCTAAGCCCAGGGTATGGATCAAAATCGAAAACAAGGTTTCTAATTTTCATTCGAAAACAATCGGATCAGATTGGATCAAAAATGAAACCAGGTTGTTGTCAAGAGGTTTCATTTCTCCTCTAGACTCTCTCTTTACTTTAACTTTAAGGTTGAATAAATCAAAGGAAAACTATTGAAAAGAATTAAGTAGACAATTGGTGAGGAAATTGAGAGTGTAGGAACATTGCGTTTTCAAACGCCATTTAATTTAAGGGTGATGCTATTTATACACTTATTTTTATCTTTTACACACTCCTCTTAATTTTTGGCAATCAGATCGAATAACTTAAAGAAGATCACTGAACAAAATTTAACAAGAGTATATGAGAAGTAAAAATAAGCATGTGAATAACACTACAGTAATTTAATTGGTATTTGCAGCATTGATGGAGACATCACGTTTTTGGGCTTCCATACCAGAGATAGGATGCCACAGTTTGGGCTCATATACATATTTGACCATAAAAGGAGTGCAAACACCAATTGGGCTTTCTTTCAATTACGAAAAATAAGCCCAAAAAGAAAGGCAATATGGGCTCCTATAATAGGAACAAAGATTGTCTGCCCTCTTACTTTCAGTGTTTTTTCGTGCCTTCCT